ACGATCCATCAGAAGCAGGTCAATTCTGGATTTGACTGATTCTGCAGTGAGCAGCTGTGGAAAAGAAAGTAAAGTTAGCCAATGCAGAAGATCTATGGTGGGATTTTGTAGTTTTGACATACCTCGAAAACAGCGTCCTTGGCAGTGTATGGCAGAATGAGGCTGAGGTGTGTGCCGTTCTCATAGAAATTGTAGTCTTCAGCCATCTCAGCCGTCAGCTCTCGAGGTCCAACGATAGCCTTGAAATTAGAGCCGTGACTCCCGAACTTCACGCTGATGTAAAACTGGTTCTGGTCACAGGTGCCAGCCATGATGGGTAACACTAGAGCAGCAAAACATGCATTATCCATTTGATTGTGTAGCTTTTACTCTTATATATGTTTTATTTAATTTTAGAAAACACAATTTGCATGAAGATATTGTCAAAAGCAAATTCAATATGATCTCACCAATATCCTGCAGAGAGGCCTGCAGGTCGACCGGGAGAGCAAAAGGAGTTTCTTCAGGCAGGACGATCAACCCAAAGATCAAAGGGAGGAAGTAGGATGTAACCAAGCGCTGAGGATTCTGCAACAAATGAAATAAAAGCTCAGCAACACTGACAATATGCTGGTACAAAGTGATATTTTGAATCTATAATGTCATACATGTTTTAAGACAACATCGGCATCAAAGGGCACTTGAAGAGAGAAGCTCTTGGAGCCATTAGCCAAGCTGTGTTCCTGGACTGTGAAGCCTTTGGCATTGCTCTCCTCAACAGTGAGGACCCCGGTGGAGAAGGTGATGTTCCTCAGCTCAACGTCATGGAGGAAGGTTCCCAAGAGAACGCTGAACACCCGAGTCTCTGGGACAGTGTCTGAGGAACAGAAAGTGGCAGGTTTACAACTTCTAAACCAGCCTCAACATTGATAGAGAAAAATTGAGTAGTTGGATTGAGTGCTATTTAAAAAAAACAAAAAAGTACCCTTTGTAAGCAAAAGTAGATTTTGTACTTGGCTTCAAATCCCAACCAAACACACCATTTTGCAAAAACTGAAGACTTTATTTAATGGGTTTAGCAGTCTTTAGGATATATCCGAGCAAGCCCGAGTTCAAATGTCATTTTTTTCATACCTACTAGAAAATGTGACTTACCATCTTGGATTTGGGGAGATTGAGGCATCAGAGGGGTCATGATGGGGAACAAAACCTTGTATCTGGTATCATCTTGGGTGTCATCTTCTCTCCACAGTACCTCAAGCATGGGCTCCACAAAGTAGGTGATGTGGTACTGGTAATCTGGGGCATGGCTCTGCAATAATTCATGACATTTCAATAAAACATGCAAATGCACTAGTGACTCTTGCATTTCTAATCTAGAGATTTCCCCAACCTTGTAGTAACCATCAGGCGAGCCCACTGGGATCTCGACGACGATGTGGAAGTCTGTGGTGCTCAGTGTGTACCCCCGTGCGGCCATCTGAGATCTATCAAGCCTCTGCCCGTTGATTCCCATGTGCATTTCTGAGACTGTAATTCTGCCGTCCAACAGAGGAGTCACACGGCGAGGTACGTGCCAAGAGATCATATCCTCGGTGAAGAGGACGCCACCTGTTAATGACAAAATGGAGCTGTTGAGGTTAACTGCAACAATTAAGCTTACTGTGAAGGCAATATGTTGCTCAGGACTCACCTTTGGGACAAGCAGCTGCCAAGTTCACTACATTCAGACCCTGTGGTGCCATGTAGTAGGCGCTCACCCTGAAAACTTCCATGGGGACTCCAGCCACCTAAAGAGAGGAGAGGTTTAATATAATTGACAAGGAGGGAAAGGAAAGAAACACTGTGTGTTGCTTACATCCTCTGAATAAGTCTCTGCTGTATTGTACGGGCTTCGCATCACCAGGCGACTAGAGGTAGTTTTGGCAGCGTAGCCGGCTTGTTCAGCCTCTTGCAACACCATGGCCACTGGTTCTGGGGTGTAAAACGTCATCTTCCAGATACCTTGTGATGCACCAGAGGCCTACAGGAAAGAACAAATAATAATTAAATCCTCATTGGTGTAGGGAGGAATTAAACTGTAGTATCTGAACAGTTTAATTCAACATACTTCAAGATTGGCGTTGAGCTTCTCGTCTTTACCATCCCAAGTCTGACCCTTAGCTTCAGCATCAAGGTTAGCCATGTGGTGCGAAACCTAAAACAGAAAATGGTGGTTTTAGCATTCGTTTCCATACACACAAGATGGTGGACTCATCAATGTAAAGATGACCTACTTCCATGTAGTTCCTGTCGCAGAGGATCTCCCTGGAGGCCCAGCGTGTGTAGCTGCAAGTCTGAGACACATCATGACTGACCACGTCTGATGGATTCTCGCCGTACATCTTGAGTCTCAAGCCAACGTTAAATGTAGCATCATCCTATAAATATAAAAAAAACTAAATTAAGTAAAACTGCCTAATATTCTTTGGTTCCAGCTTCTTTGTCATTGAAAATGTAATATCCTTGCCTTCAGGGACACATTTGAAGTCTAAATGGATATTTGTGTATGTAACAAACAAGTCAAGAAAGTACCTAGTAGATTAATTGAGGAATACAGTTTTGAGTGGAGCAATGCTAATATTTTAGGGATGTACCAAACAAAAAAGGGAAATGTACTTTGGGTCTTTTAACGGTAAGGGGTTACAAATAAATTCAGGGAAACACAAAAATGGGAGCAACCATGTGTTTGTTGAGCCATTAATTCAGTCACTTGACAGAATTAGCACAGCTAAACTTGGTAGAAAATTACATTGAATGCTGTTAAACCACTTTAGCTCAAAACAAACCTTGTTGTCCACAAAGCAGCCCATCAGGGAGGTGTAGATTCTGGTGTTACCCCACGGGTCAGACTCCATGCTGTATCCACACTGAGCAGCCATGCTAGGTGTTAACAAAATGTGCTTGGTGCCATCTGAGGGGAGAAAATAAGCTTTGTCAGGGACCCCTTTCCTCAGTGATCAGCTGCATTATTAGCAGTTAATACTTACTGATAGCCTCCACCTCAAGCTGGTTTCCCACTGCTAAAGCCTTGTCCAACGACAGTCTCATTACATTTGCGGCACAGTCAGACCTTAACCCACTGCCTGTTAAAAGAAAAGGCTTGTGAGGAGAATGTAAACCGACTTAATATGCTGTGTAAAATGACTTAATGAGAATTGAAGCTTACTTGACTGCGAATGTAGCTTCACATTAGGCCTGGCTTGACACAAGATGATAGCTGCAGCCATCCATAACAAACTTGAACACATAAAACACATCATTTAGAGACAATTAAGTACACACATAGAAATAAATCTACAAGAAATGTAACTTACATGTTCCCAAGCCTTAGCATGTTGCAGTTTGTAAGCAGTAAAACCAAAAAGAATACAGTCAGTATCAGAGCTTGGCAATGTCCAGCACACCTTCCAACAAAAACACAAGTCTAAAATGAAGGGGACTGGATGATTAACTGAGACATCAGCAGCTGCTTTATATTCCACTTAACGACAAAGCACAGGTGAGGCTTGTTAAGGATTCTCCACACACACACACACACACACACACACACACACACACACACACACACACAGTGGGTGTCTGACTGTATCCATGCATGTTTGACTGTCTGCAGGTGAAAACGTATCACTACTACCTGTCCCAAGTGAACCTGCTGCTACACAATCTGCAGGAGAGACATTGATCCCACACACACACACACAGTGGGTGTCTAACTGTGTCCATGCATGTTTGACTGTGTGTGCATGCAGGTGAAAACGTATCAATACCAATCCCAAGTGAACCTGCTGCTACACAATCTGCAGGGGAAACATTGATCCCGAGTACCACAACACAGTCTGCAGCACGTGACGCCACAAAGGCAGCAGCTGTTGACCCTGCCGACTGGCCATCCATGTCTGATAAGGTAAGAACAGAGTTTGTGAGCAGAGGACCCTATCAGGCAAAACCACACTTAATTTTTCCAAAACGACAGGATGGGAGAAGCTGCCACCACCAATACTTTTATAGAAAACTGGTAAATGGGGAAAGAATCAAGAGAAGCTGGCTATTGTACTCACAGAAAAACGACAGCCTTTACTGTTTTTGCTGCAAGCTGTTCTCCCAGAAGGAATACAAATTAATCAGTGCAGGACTAAATGACTGGAAAAATTGCCACCAATTACTGAAAACACACGAAAACACTCCAGAACATACATGGAATCATGGAAACAGTTAGAGTTTCGATTACAAAAGGGGAAAACTATTGATAGGACTGAGATGGCGCTTACAAACATAGAAAGGAAGAGATGGCGTGAGTTGGTAACAAGGTTGGTCGCCATCATTCAATCATTAGCTGAGAGAAACATGGGCCTCAGGGGAACATGTGACACACTCAACAAACCCAACAATGGCAACTTCCTTAAAGAAGTGGAGCTGATGGCAATGTTTGACCCTGTAATGAAAGAACACGTTGCTAAAGTCAAAAGGGGTGCAAGCCATACCACATATCTCGGAAAAAATATTCAAAATGAACTCATTGAATGTATCGGTGAGAGAATCAGTGCCCACATGATTGAAGAAATTAAGAAGGCTAAATATTATTCCGTCATTCTGGACTGCACACCTGACATTAGCCACACAGAGCAGTTATCAGTCATCTTAAGGATTGTTACAATGGAGAAGATGCCACAAGTTAAGGAACACTTCATGGGGTTCCTTGTTGCTGAGGAATCAACTGGCGAGAGTTTGTCATCCCTCATCCTGGACAGGCTCCAATAACTGAACATCCCCTTTGAGGACTGTAGGGGACAGTCTTATGAGAATGGTGCCAATATACGAGGGAAAAACAAAGGAGTTCAGGCCAGGTTACTTGAACTAAACCCGAGGGCACTATTCGTGCCATGTGGCGCACACACTCTCAATCTGGTGTTAGCTGATGCAGCGAAAAGCTCCCAAGATGCCACTGGATACTTTGGCTACCTCCAAAAGCTTTTTCCATTGTTTTCAGCATCCACAAAGCGCTGGGACATTTTGAAGAGCCATGTCACCACTACCTTGAAATCATGGTCTGAAACCAGGTGGGAGAGCCGGGTCAACAGTGTGGAAGCTGTGCGATATCAGGCTCAACATGTTCGAGATGCACTTTTGGAGGTGAGGGACAAGGCCACTGACATGATGATCAAAATAGAGGCACAGTCTTTGGCTGAGGAAGTGGGGTCCTACCGCTTCTCCATTTGCACTGTGGTGTGGTACGACATCCTTAGTAAAGTCAAACAGGTCAGTAAGGTCATGCAGTCTGTGTCAATGCAACTTGACATCGCAGTTGACCTCCTGAGAAAGACAAAGGCCACCCTGGAAGACTACAGAGCCACTGGATTTGCCTCTGCTCAGATCAGTGCTAAAGACATGTGTGAGAACATGGATGTGGATGCTGTCCTCAAGGAGAAGAGGCTGAGGTCAACCAAGAGGCAGTTCTCTTATGAAGCACCTGATGAGCCAATGGCAAATGCCCTAAAAAAGATGGAAGTTACATTTTTCAACAGGGTGGTTGATGTTTGCATCACTTCCCTCAATGAGCGTTTTGAACACCTGGAAGAAGTTCAGGCAAAGTTTGGGGTGCTTGTCAACTTCCCCGAACTGCCCAGAAACGAGTTGACAAAGCAGTGTCAAACACTGAGCAACACCCTGAGCTCTGGCGGACAGTCAGACATAGATGGAAAAGAGTTGGCACTGGAGCTGATGAACTTTCCAACTCTCCCCGCACCCACAATGACCACCCTGGAACTGTTGGTGTTCTTGGAAAGGAAGAACCTGAGGGAGGTTTATCCTAATATGTGGGTGGCCCTCAGGATCGCAGTCACTATGCCAGTGACAGTGGCTTCAGCAGAAAGAAGCTTCTCAAAGCTGAAGTTAATTAAAACCTACCTGAGGTCTACAATGGTCCAAGAACGCCTCAGTGGACTTGCCATCATCAGCATTAACAGTGATGTTTCTCGTCAGCTGTCATATGAGGATTTTATTGATGACTTTGCAGCAAAGAAGTCAAGACGAGTGCAATTCTGAGTGTTTAAGTCAAACAAGTCAGTAAGGTATTTATTTATTATTACAATATGTGTGTTCAAAAACAGAAATGTAATTGTTCTTTTGTTGTATAAATCGTTTTTATGTATTTGTTAATATGTTTTCATTTATTTTATTTATTTATTATTACAATATGTGTGTTCTTAAGTGTTCTTTAAAATAGTTCTATAACTCCTTCTGTGGAAGCTACTTGTTTATTAAAAGATGTTTGTTGAATTATAACTAAAGCAAGTGTAGTTTTTGTATTTGTGGGGGGGTTAGTGTTTTCAATGTATACTATAGGACAGTAAACCAAAAATATCATTTAAAAACTGGAGAGATAAAAATATGAATACATAAATGAATGTTAACTAGGTCAAATAAGATATGAATGAACAACAAAAATAAAATAAGTTACATTTATTGGCTATGGTAGGTTATTGGTTATGTTCACATACTCATTTGATTATTAAAATGTTAACTGATCTTTTTCATATGGGTGTTTTAGAGTTGTACCCCCTAGATCTAGTAGTAATTGTGTGCTCAAAGTGCACCAGATTGAAGCATTTTACCCCCGGACCCCCCTAGAGGATGTGACGTCCATCCCCCAATTCAAACATGTTCATACAATACTGAATACATTTGAAGCCTTTTTGCCTATGTCAATAAGTTTCTGTTTTTGTAGTGTATTCGTCTTTTGTAGAGATTTTTAATTTATTCTTTATATATTCTATGGGGGGGGGGGGGCGCCAGCTAAAATCTCGCCTAGGGCTGCAAATTGTCTAGAGCCGGCCACTATATTTGTTTAAGCACCGGATCGGCAAAACAGGAGAGTGTGTGCACCAGTCTGCCTTGATCTATGTATTCATGTCTGTGACTCTCACAGTAGCCTATCTGCTGCCCACAGCTGTTTTATAGAAGGAAAACCTCCTTCACTTCATGACATCTCTGCAGCACCAGGAGGCAGCGGGAGGGTTAACTCAGCCTCTGAGAAGAGGAGCGTGCAGTGCCTTTCACGCACCGCCTTCGCTGTGTTTACCTTCAGAATCATAAGGCTAAAGAGCGACCGCAGGCTGATGTGTTATAACCACACACACCTCTACACACACACGACTTAAACGCAGACTTTTGTTCCTCCATGTTTCGTTATTGTTCCACTGAGCGGACCCGCCCCTTTTTTTTCAAACGCTCCATTTTTGGTCCATCTGCGGCGGTAAAAGTTGTTGTGCGCTGTGATGATTCGGCTGTACCTTTAACAGGGTTGCCAACTTTGGGTACCTGGCTGGAGTGAGATTTTGATATCATGGGTTTAATTACACATATGCGCACTAAATGACTGCTATCGTGTCAGTAGCGGGATCTTAGCATGATATATATACAATATATACAAATACACAATATTGGACACAGACTATAAAGGGCGCAAAGTTTCATTCACTAATGAAAGTCAAACACCTGTTTGTTTCCACTGTTTTATTGTGTGCCTGTCGCGATAAGCAATTCATTGACATATCGTACGATAAATAAAAATGAACTTGATAAATGTTTTCATTTACATGAGGATGTGATTAGCAGTTTGAAAGGATGTGATTGAATTATTATTTTATATTATCATTATGTCAGTGGTCTAAAATGATACAACGGTGCCGACAATATTATCGTTTACCCGGAAAATGTATCCAACAAAATTAATTATCGTCAGAGGCATGAAACACACAGACACAAACAAATCTACAGACTTACTCCAAACTGCCAAATATATTAATTAACACACTCTCACTCTCATATACTCTTTGACTCTATTTTAGCCTAGTAGAACAATAAGCAGCAGACTTTTACTTTTTATCATTTTTACTGGATCTCAGATCTGCGCATGCGCAATACGGGTCGGGGATTGACCAACCGGCTCCCACTGCTCTGCTGTCTGTTATAGTTGTTAAGAGTGGCGTGGGCGCGGAGGGAGCGGGTCGACAGCTTGAGCAGCTGTCAACTCAACATTGTAAATAACCAACCAAAAACGATCACCGGTTCATCTTGTTTTTGGCGTGAGAATAGTTTGGGCAGCGTGAGAGCGTGACATTGAGAGTGAAAGCGTGTGTCACACGCCAGATGCGTGAGAGTTGGCAACCCTGACCTTTAATAATGAATATTAAATGTTGTGAGGAAATCTTTCCACCAATAATTCCAATAAGTAATCCAAAATGTATTCACTTCCGGTTTACGAAAGTAACTGTAATCAGATTACTCGTTTTTCAAATGTAACGCGAGCTGAATGCAGTTACTTGATTTTTGTATTCTGATTACGTAACGGCGTTACATGTATTCCGTTACAACCCAACCCTGCCCCCGCATTAAGGAATATTCCTTCTTTTCTCATATGCACAAATCCTTTTCTC